GCTTCATGGATCCAAGAAAACTTTTACCGAATCCTCGATTTTGCATTCGGTCGGATTGCTTATAAACCACTTCAAGATTATTGCTTGGGAGCAATATGCGCGGACCCTTCTTCGGTTTTTGACTCCGATTACTTCTACTGCATGGACGTCAACATGCTTACTTCTTTACTAAAACGTGATGATCTTGGCATTGACGAGGTGGAATTATGGAATAATGTGATAAAATGGGGATTTGTTCAGAATCCGACATTATTTGAAGACCCGGCAAAATGGACACCGGAATTTACGGCTACGTTTCAACAATCCTTGGCCGATTGCATTCCACTGATACGGTTTACACTAATGACACCGGCACAATTCAGAGAAAAGGTCTGGCCATTCAAAGATATATTACCCGCAGATTTGTACGATAGCGTATTATGGTATTTTCTGATGCCAGAGGCACAATCGAACCTGTTTACTCCCAGGCTAAAAACCATCGATTCAAAACTTATTACGCTGAAACAAGCAGCCATGGTAAGTCATTAATCCAACCAAGGCTTAGATATTTTATAATCAAACTCACATAATAAATTATTTGATCTATTCCAGATCGCATCATGGATTGATCAGAAAGATGATAAGTTCTACACCTACACAGAAATTCCTTACGACTTTACACTGCTGATGCGAGGCTCTGAAGACGGATATTCACAGAACATCCTCCACCAACGATGTGGAGGTCAGGAGAAAACCTTTTTGCTGCTAAAGATTAAGACTACTCAGGAGATCTTCGGGATGTACATCTCGGGCATATGGAATGTGACGGCGAGTGCTCGGGCACATGACAGTTTTATGTTCTCATTCAGCGAAGGAAAGGAAACCACCAAGCCGGTTCTAAGTAGGGTGCGATCGTCGGGATATGACTTGGCATTAAGCAGGGGAATGGATCGGGGGATGGGGGAATTAGAAATGTTTAAAGTTTCACCGAAATTTGGTGTTTCCTCAACTTCGTTGCCACTTACTTTATAGTGAAATGGTACTCGGATAATTTATTTCTAAGAAATTTAAGTGAGTATTTGCGGTAATTTTTTAGAGAAACGATAAACCCAGTATTATGTACTGGCTCACCATTATTTTTATTCTTTTAGTTAGAAAATAGACGTATAAACAAATGACTGAATTGTAAGTCAATTACGGGTTATAAAAAAACTTTAGAAAAGCAATAGATATGTATATACATACGCAAAGTATTTTACATCACTTTTCTTTAAGAAAAAATACACGATATCTTTTTTTTTACATTCACAGAAAAATAAGTTGACATAAAAAATCGCATCGCAATAAATAATATAAAATAGATAAATAAAAAGCATCACGCAAGTTGCAAGAAACTATTCAAAAAACAAAATTTAGACGAAATCAATAAAAATAAAATATTATTAAAATAATTTCGACGTTTTTTTTTAAAAAAATATTTAATAAGTTAATATTACATAAATGATTTATTGTTTAACAATTTTACAAATAATAAAATTTTTTATGATTTTATTTTAACAAAAAATATGATCAAACAGTACAATTGAATGATTTTTGTGTTTTCAAAATAGCAATTACAAGTTTTTTATGCAATACCATAAGAATATTTCAAAGACATAAAAATTTTTAATGTGATCAATTAAATATTGTTACTAAATCTACAAATAAATCGAATACCGTAATCAAATTCAGATACAATTATTTTTATAGTAAATATTTTTTTATAATAAAAATTAAACAATTAACATGAATTTTTACTACACATGCACAGTATATACTGAAATCATATTTATTGATTAAATATAAAATATAACATCGTAACTAGGCATTTATATGTTTATATAATATTATACCGACGCAGAGATATATATGCAGTATAATATTTTACGTTCGGGTATTTACACGTTTACACCTTTTTAATTGATCCGCCATGATTAATTTAATTCGAGCTCCTGTAATAATTGAATGAAAGTTGATAATTATTTGTACGAACGAATTTCTAGTCATTATTGTTTAAAGGTATATACGATATACTATATACAGTGTTTATAAACTTTTGATACTTGGGTTTTACTTTCATTTAAAAAATGATAGATTATACAACACTGTACGTATTTGCACAATCCATGATCGTTAAAACCCATGTTAAAAATATACAGTATATATATTTCGTTAAATTGAAAAATGTTTGCCTAGCATACTTACTATTTCTTACTATGGTTTACTATTGTTTACTATTGGTATAATAAACGCAAAGTTCACCGTTTTCTTTTTGCACGAGAAACAAATCATCTTGTAATTAACGTGATTTATGAAGGTAATAGTTCAAGAAGCAACGATTATGGTTTTATATATTATTTATAAGGTAGCCAATTACATACACTCTTGATAATTCTACACCTATAATAAATCAGTGTTCGCCTATTTTACATAGATCAACAAAGTCAAAGTTTATCAATTCCGCAGGATCTAAATATTGTAGCGGAAAATCATTGAAATGGACTTATAACAGTTTAAAAATCTCGATCTCTGATCTTTGGATTAATATACTGTATGTTAATCTAACTTTCAAAATTCTTAAAATCTAATATAATATTTAAGGATATAAACACAAATATACATAAATTTTTCAGTCAGTAAATAGATTACCTCACGAAAATGAATGTTCTAGTCATCAACATCTGCAAGAAGTGTGTGTGAATCAGAACTCAAGAATGAATCAGTCAAGAATAAAAGCATAGGTTAGAATAAAAAGAAGACTCACATTCAATATACATTTCCATTTTCCTGACCATTATTTCATTCCACACACACAACGAATCGAACAAATCAATTTTATGCAGTTGTCGTCTCTCTTGACGCCTTTGTAGTCCTTCATCCAACTTATGCGCAAATTTTCTCAACACCTCATGATGCCTATCCTCCTCATGCTTATATTTATACAAGTAACCGATACGCTCTAATGGCGCCTCCCAATCATCAAGGAGTCGTTCCACTGAATCTGCGTCTAAACACATGTGGAAATCCAAATGTCTTAGCCACTTCGCCCCCCTCAATTCTTTGAGCGGAGGAAATTCATGTGCATCAAACAGTTGATTGTTTATCAACTTGTAATAATCATGACACTGCTGTTCCACTTTCAACCATTTTAATTCCATGCTCGTGTCTTTCAACATCTTTTCCAGTGAACTGTCATGTTTATAACCACGTACCGTTAACTTTTTTAGTTGGATACACTTTTCACTCACTTTTTGAAGAACCTGACAATAGACACTCGGATTTATATCCAAGCTCAGTGTGTTCAGTGACTTTCCATTTTTTTCTAGAAATGAACACGTGTTGTCCGCCAACGATTCTCTCCGATGCTCATGTAGTCTTCCGATTAATTTGAATTTGCATATTTCTGGGAAGTGAAAACTCCACAAAGGTTTCAGACCATCATATGTGCATGGATAACAGCCCAAAAAATGAATTATTAGGGTTTTTAGACGTGAACACGAGGACAAATTCCACAAAGCTCTGCTATTGTCTATTATCACTTCCATCAGTGTCAGACTCTCGAGGGTGGTCGTGTGAAACCGTAAAGAGTCAATTAACTTGGAAGTCACGGTGATTTCTTCCAAATGAAGGTGACGGAGAGATCGTTGACGTTTGATTAATTGCGATAAGTCATACGAAGAACCCAGAGAATGACGAGACCGGAGGGATAAAGATGATATCTTGGTACAATGTGTGGAAATTTCAAAGAGAATATAAGACAAAGAATCGGATATACCAAGATCTAGTGTAGTGATGTGGGAGAGTGTACTGATAAAATTAAAAGGTGACTTTAAGATGCAAGAATAAAAGAGAATCATGGGTGTGAAAAAACACTCGGGAAAAGAATTGATGGCTATATGGGTGAGACGAGTAACGCGCGTCATGATAAGTTTGAAAAGTTCACGGACAAAGTAATGACAGCAATCTTCAGTCATTTCTATGGATGTTTCCATCGCCGGTAGAATGTTCGCATAACTTGCATTATTTCTACCAATTGCGTTTCTTGAAAGATCTATCACGATAACAGTGGTACGCAGCCATTCATATATAATTTTATAAAACGCACAAACATTCAATGACTTCAAAAATTGTGGATAATGAAATATGGGCGATGGCTTTGCGGGCAACCTTAATATCCGCATGCTTCGATCTACCTGCGAATCAATCCGCGAGCTTCTCATATGCGGATCGACATACGAATTTCCCATATA